CTTGATTTTACATTGTTCTCCTTTTTCATTTTCTAGTTGGACCATCTTGCCCTCTAATTCCATGATCGTCTGCTGACACTGTTCAAGTTGAATCTTGAGATCGTTTGACATAATTTTTTCGAGATTTTCTAAATTTTGGACGGGAATTAAGGTATCATCGTGTAGACACATGTACTGTTCTTTAAGATTTTCTATCTCAGCATTAGCTTCTTCGAGTTTCATCACTTCTTCGTCTCTACTTTTTTGAAGAATTTGAAGCTGAACTTCTAAAGACTGGATCTGCTCGACCTGTCTTTGTTCCGATTCTTTGACCTGCCCAAGTTGCTTGTTTACTTCCTTTAGTTTACCTTCTCGCTCACTCAAGACACCCTCTAATTCTTTTACCAATTGTTTTTGGGCATTCTCCGCTATTCTCTTTTCCTCTAATTCCGTCGTTAGCTTGGAAATTGTTTCGCGTATCGTTGCTATTTCGGCTGCATTTTGATGGTTAGCCTCTTCCAATTTTGTCTCCATCTCCTTGACGAGCACAAGATTCTTTGCAGCTGATTGTTGCGCCGTCTCCAGATCTTCTGGACTAGGATTTGCACGAAGCCTGGCCTCGAGATCTACGATTTTCGATTCGAGGAATACAATATTTGATTGGAATTCTCTCGCACGTTCACTTTCAGCCGATTTCGCTACTTCGATGGCTTTAAATTCATCCTTGACCTTTTGAATACTGGATTGCAGTTCTTTAATGTGTGAATCCTTGGCGGAAGATAGTTGTTCTTTTTCGTTAAGAGTGTCGCTAGAATTCTTCAACGCTTCTTTAAGGTCGTGAATCTGGGAGTCGAGGTCTGATACTTTGCGCTCCAATGACGAGACCAAGTCTTTTTTCTGTATCTCGTGACTTTCCATTGTTTGTAGTAAATCGTTAACACGTCTCGCGTATTCTCCACGTTCCTTTTCAACTTCTGTTAGTTGATTTTCAAGCGTTTTCACCTGTGCTTGTAGATTTTCCGATTTTTTCAAGGCTTCTGCGTGACCTTCTTTTGCCACATTTAGTGCGTCTGTCAGTGTTTGCATTTCGCTCTCGAGAGTGATGACAAGCCTTGCTTGGGCACGGAAAGTTAATTCCATGCTTTCCCATTCATGTATAATTGTTTTTTTTGCTTCTTTGACGTCGTTGAGTTGAGTTCGTAATTGTTCTACAATTAATTTTTCGTTTCCGTTTGAAGATTTCATGGAGATTAATTGCGCTGGTTTTTTAGCACAATTCAATTGGTCGTGTTCTGACAATTCCTGCGTAATAATGCGTTCTAATTCTTTTTGTATTTTTGATTCCTCGGCATCCAAATTTCGTAGTCGTTCGAGGACAAATGCTTCCTTTTCGGAATTATTATGATACCCCTTTTCTGATTCTTTTAAAGATTTTCCTGTATCTTTACTGATATCCTCCAATTGAGAAACTTGATCCGGTGACTCTTGTTTTTTGGTGGCGTTCAACCTTTGTAAAAGCACAAAAATTTCCGCCTCACTCTCACGAAGTTTCTGATGTAACATTCCTTTGTCAACCAAATCATGTTTTAAACTTTCTATAAGTTTATCTTTCCTTCTGAATTCTGCCTTAAGTGTTTCAAAGTGAGGTTGTAAAAGCGACATCAGGTCCCCCTTGGATCCTTGCACAGTCGAAAGCTTTGACTGGATGACGTCAAGTGTGTCTTGCGTTTGGTTCGTGAAATGCCTCGGTAAAAGACCGAGTTTATCCGAAGACGCTTTCTCAAGATAATCGTTATCAGTAGTGTCCGACAGGCCATTTTTAGTTATATGATTTATGATATTATCGTTGACCGTACGAATATGAGTTTCTTCGCTCCCTAGCAATTCTTCTGGAAGCAGGAATATGGCAATAGCTTGACTTTTCGTTTGTATGTCAGCTTGAAGTTTCTCAGCTTGTCTGCGGAGCTCAATCATTTCGGCGTCACAAGAATCGTTACTGTCATGTAAAAAGTCTCCCACATGTTGGACGTCACCTCGCATCACTGCAAGTTGTTCTTCCGACTCCCTAATCCTTGATAATAGTTTGCTGACAATCGATTCTCGAGATGACGGCGTTTTTTCTGTGTCGTTTGCATATTTTTGTTCCTCGATTGCAAAACTTAATTCTTCTCGAAGTTGCCATATGCTTAATTGTAACTTCCGGGCTTCCTCGGATCTAAGTTTGTTATCTTTCTCCCGTTCAAGAATGTTCTGCATCGTTTGCCTTTGTCTTTCTTTTAATTCCTCGATTTCTTTTCTGAGACGATTGACCACTATCAGTTCGTCAATGCGATCATTTTTTGTTGAGTTAGTTTCCTTCTCGGAAGAGTTTATCACCATGTTGACATGTAGTAAGGCCAATGCGTCACGCCTCTTGATTTCTTCTCGAAGCTCGTCGACCACCAGTAATGTTTCCTGATGGTGTTGTTCCAGTCTATTCAATTCCCGTTTAACAGCATCCAAACTTTGCGATTTGTCCTCATGGAAAGATTCGAACAATTCAAGTTCAAATTGAAGTTTTTCTATAATGGCAGCATGCGCCGAGTCAGTCATTCCAGCTCCCCCGGTTTCGACTGACGACATTGATTTGGCTTTACGATGTAATGGAGGTCTGGATGTTACGAAAGGTACGATGGGTTTCGGTGGGAGCAAATCCTCGTTTCGTGATTCAGGATATGATGACATCGGCGTCATTGGTGTTGAAGATATGGAATGTAGTTCCTCGATTATTCCTGAATGCCTTCGTTGAGATTCTTCAAGCTGATCTTGAAGGTCTTGAATCAACAGAAGACTTGCACGATACTTTGACTCCGAATCTGCGAGGTTTGATAGCTTTTTGTTGTGATTATCTTGTAAGATGGATAGCTTCGATCCAAGATCAGAGACCTGCTGGTTGACATCCGTAAGTTTTGATTGAAGTTCTTGAATTTGGTCGAGAGACCTTTGATGTTTT